CTTACTGACATAAATGAACATTTGCACGATATTCTAATTTTTCGAGTTTCACCTGTATTTTTAAGTCCAGAACAATGAGATAACATTTGAAAGTGGCTCAGGCTGACACCTTCCTAATTGACTGAAGTATAAGAAGGAAGAGAAGGTGCAACACTTAACTACTTGCACTGCCATATTTTGGGCCAGCGATCTTCAAAGGCAGCCCCAAAGTTGCCAGTAGGTAACTATGGCATGAGTAACTGTGAATAGGGCCCTCTGATCCAGAAGAGGAGCAGTTGTTGCACAACGTGAATTTGTGTAAAGGCTTGCTTAGCTATAGCTGCCATCTGTTCTTCCAGCAGGAGCTGGAGTCTAGGAGGACTCATAAATTGCTCATTGGTTCCCTCTGAGGTAGTGTAGAACTAATGATGAAAGATTTCCAAAGTTGGAGAGCCTCCAAATCCACAGCCATTCACTCTTACTAAGGTTGAGCTGAAGGCTATTTGTCCCCATCCAGACTCCCACATCCTCCAGACACTAAGACAGAATCTTGACCTGTTACTGTTTATTAAGTGTGGCAAGCACAGTGGATACAATTGAATGTCTGAAATAATCCTGTTTCCATATGAGAATTGCATTTCCTGAATCAGGGCAAATATTAACTTATTTTCTATTTGGAAGGTTCTTTTACTGGTATGAGAATGCTTGGATTTTTATAATATTTTTTAAAAATTTAAGGAGGATAGTATATAGAAGACCAATGCAGTTATTCAGCTTAAAAATATTTTGACATTGTTGCAATTAATAATACTGTTTGCTTTTATTTATAGCTATATACTCATATTTTTAGGGTACAGTTTCAAATTATAATTTAAAAGGCATTTTAAAATGTGTATTAGAAATAGAATTACATTTCTTTTGAAAGAAGACACAATCCTGTGACAGTGAAGTCAAGAGATTCATTTTTGGGAACCAGTCTTTTAAATATGACTGAGTTATTTCAGTTTTTGTGTATTGCTGCCTGGATTAAAATGGAGTTGTATCTAGCCATTATCTTAGCATGCTTTGTGAACTAGGCCATTGCTTGCTTGCTTGCTTGCTTTATTGCTTTATTTATTTGTTTGTTTGTTTGTTTGTTTATTAAATCAATTTATATAGCTACCCATCTCACCACAGAT